GCTGGTATGTCCCACAATATTTCACTGCATGCTGGACATACTGGCTTAGAACTGGCCTGGGTAATCTTGTGCCACCGCATGGTCAGGAATGGCTCTTCGATATCAATGTCAAGGGCCAGAGGTCTGCTTTCCAGCCACTCTTAAAGGAGGAAGTGACCTGGCCTGTACACAGTGGCATAGTATGCAAGTACCTTACAAATATTACACAAACAGAGCAGTGGTATTTCCTCCTTCTTCCAGGTGTCGGGGTTGAAGCAAAACATTGGAACAAGTAAAGAGCCAGTTCCTCTCCAAGCTCTGCTACATTCTCACTATATAACCTTTGACAAGTCACTGCACTGGGCTTTTATTTCTCCACCCCTCCTGGTGATGTAGAGTCATTCACTGAGGTTTGTAGAGTCCCCTGACTTCTTATCAGGAAGGACAAAGTATTATTGTAGCATTAACAAGACAAGAGCTTTCAGTTAAGCAGGGCATTGCAGCAGTGCACAGCCCACTCCATAACTACATCCCTGAACACATGTCCTTGGACAATGACACCGGTGGGAAGTAGCCTGGAGAACAGGCTGTGGCACTAGACATTTCGCTCCAAATGCCTATGAAGAAAGGCTGCCATCATGGGCAAAGAAGAAACGGTCCAAGTGGAAAATTCATTTATTGCCAGGAGAGAAGAGGTCTGTCCTGCCCTCAGTTACATTGCTGTAAATCCAAAGTTACTCTCCTAAGACCTAAAACGTACTTGCCCCTGTTTTATGCTGTGCCTAAGCTGTTAGTCATTAATATGCATTCTGGAAGCTCAAAACAGAGTCTGTACTCCTGGCTTTACTTGTACACTGTAAATATGTATTTATCCTTATTGTAATGTATATTTTTATTGCACTATACCAGACAGTGACAACATGTACAGGCCTGCTGGAGTTTATCTGATAAATCTGTTCCCTCTCAGTAACTGGACTAACACAGTGTATTTCATGTTAAAAGCATCCATTTCAAGAAAGACTCATACTTGGCTGTGGAGCTGCAAGCAGTGGGGATGGAGGTGAGGAGAAGGGAAGGAATACAGCATCGCCCCAAATGGTTTGAGTGGAAATAAAGGTGGAAATTCACATGCAGAACAGGGCTCCCAAACTTAGACATGAAAGAAGTCAAATTCAGGGAGCAGGGACCTATTGGTTCCAGAACAGCAACGAACAGTGCTCAAAGCCTGAGATCAGGGGACATTCGTCTGCAGAGACCAATGGGTGCAGAGCCCCAGACAGGCAGCAGGTCAGCTCTCCAGAGCCAGAGGGCTGTGCAGCTACAATCACATCAGATGACACGGGATCGTGTGCCCAGCAGACAGTGTTACCAAAGCCCCCATTAAAACTCTGCTGTCCTTTCCTGGGTCACACCAGAACCTGGTCAGGGCAGGGGCTCCAGGGGAGGTGGTATAGCCTGTGACAGAACTGGGCTTAGGGAATTGGTCCCCAGGTCCTGACCATGACACCAGGCATGCGCATACATGTGAACACTCTCACACATGTACACATGCACAAGCCTTGCTCAAGATAAAGCAAATTTCAGCTTATTAAGACTACTGCCAAAAATACAAACCATGTTTGTTATCCCCCTTGTCCTCCACAAATCTGCCAACAGAAATATTTTAAGAGCATGTATTTAAAGAACATGTCAGCATCTGAACTTCTCGGGAGCAAATACCCTCCAGCCCCAAAACAGACGGGCACACAAGCACAGACTTCCCTGTCTGTGTCCTGGGGACAGCAGGTGTGTCTGACTCATCTGAAGCTCCCCAGTTTTGGCCATTCTGGAGGGAAGTGCTAGCACACACTGATCAGCACCGTGGTGAGACTGCCTGTAAAACCACTCATAAAAACAAATCAGACAGCTGGTTCTTCTGAGCCTGTTAAACAAGAGCTGCTGTATCCATTAGATTTCCATTCCTATCTTTGACTTCCATGGTACAGAGGAGGTATAACCTTCAGTGGGCAGCTGGGGTCTTCTGTCCTAAGGCTGTGCTTCTCTAGCCTGCTTCTCCCTCCTAACAAAGCACAGATCACCCCAGTCCTGTCTTTTGTTTCCCCAGAACTCTAGGGCAGGCAGCTGCTTTCACCTTTATTGTGCTTACTGAGCCCAGAGATTACTGAAGAGCAGTTACACTGGAGGAGATAGTGTCAGCCGTACCCTTATTATTTGTGAGGAGCCTGGTGAGCACATCCCCAAGAGATGCAAGGACTGCTTCAGAGGGATGGAAAGCAAGTAGAGAAACACACTGGGGTGTCCTTAGGCATGGTGCTGCTGCAGAGCTGTGCTCAGGAAAACATGTCTGTGGCCAAAGCAGACCAGGGTGGGCAGGCTGACCCACTCCCACAGGCGCTGGGAGCGTATCTCCAGAAACACAGGCTGTGGATGGAGGCCAGCTGGCAAAGGTGCCAGTGAAACAGTACAGCCAGAGTCAGGAGGTGATCCAAGAAGGGAGGAAGAGGAGAGGGAATTAACTTGCAGAGTTTTTCACTAAGGCACTACAGTTTCTTCCCCTGGAAGGGTCCACTTTCAGGGCACCAGGTAACGCTGCTGGGTAACACTGCCTGAACCCATTCCTTCCCTTAGGACTATGGATGTCAGCAGCCCAAAGAAAAAACACAAGGCAGAGCTGCACATCCCCTTGTTCACTGCAATCCCTGACCAGGAAGAGCTGTCTCCTGAAGAAGAGGATGGAGGGACCCATCTTGGCTCTGCTCTGGAGCAGAATGGCACACTGCACGGTTCCCCAGGCTTTCATCTGTGCCACCTCAGGCTCTGGAAATGCAGGTGACAGAGCAGGGAATGAAGCAGATCTGGCATTACCCAAACCTCACCACATCAGGCTGGGGGAGAGCCTTCCTCTCCCAACACAGCCCAGCCACGGGCAGGCCTGCTGCATGCTTGCAAAGGGCTTCCCTAGTCCTCGGAGCTACTGAATCCACACAGCTGGTACCCAAGGATGCTCAGTGCCTGTCAGGATCAGGCCGCGGCTGTCACCAACTGCAAACACACCTGGCCTTGCTCTCCAATCATGCAAATCCTCCCCAGTTCTGACCGCTCTGAAAACAACCCCTTCCCCACCATCTCCCCTTGCATCAAAAAACCCATTCTGGTCAGTCAATCAAGGAAACAGATAAAAAAAAAAAAAAAAAAAAAAAGCAAAATCTCAACTAATCTTTGTGGCTGAAGAAAGGGCTGATTGTTTTTGCCTCTCTCCAAGCCCGCCCTGTGTCCTGCACTTCCCCAGTCCTCTTCACACCTTCTTCCCTTTATTGCCAGGGAAAGAAAATCCTGGTCTTTGGGCTGTTTTGTTTAGCAAATGAGGGACATGCAAAGCAATAACCCCGGGCATCTGTCAGAAGGAGAGAGGTGCCTCTGTGTCTTCCAGACAGCCTTCAGGCACTGAGACCAGCAGCCCAGAAATATTATAATCAAGGGTGGATTTAAATTTGGACGCGGGATGCATCTTTTGCTTCCTAATGAAGACAGAGCCACAGGACACCTGCAGGAAGCAGAGCACAGCATTATGCTGGAGCTTATCTTCAGGTTGTATTAACTTCCAGAGTGGAATCCTAGAGAAGGCAAAACCCTCAAGTTTTCATGTTGTGTTAGCAATGGTTAGGGAAGGCCTGAAAGGAACTGAGAGGAAGGACAAGGAAAAATTAGGCTGCAGTTGGGTACAGGTTGTACTGGAAAAAGAAAAAGTATTTGCTGAGTCCAGTTACTTCCCGCCCTAGACTTCATGAGGAAGTGTTTTCAGTGAAAAAAAAAAAAAAAAAAGATAACAGCAGAGTCCCTTGTCCTCATAGCAGGTCGTTTCCCCAGGGCCACACAGTTGTAAGTGATGGGGACACACCAGCAGGTCAGTTCTAGCCCATCAGCACGTCACACAAGGGGAAACCTGAAGGCTTTAAACAATCTCTCAGAAATAGCTGCATACACGTTTCCTTGCAAACGTTCCTGCCTGCTGTTAAGGGCCTAACCTGGGGACAGATAGGGAGCTTGACCTACAAAGCTGCTACAGAATAAGAAAGTACACCACAGAAATTTTTTTATCATGTATTCTGCTCACAAAGCAGAGATGTTTTTCCACTTTTGCCCTGCAATAGCATGTACAAACAAAGAAGACAATCCAGAACAGCCACACCAAAATTATTCAGTGATAGTTAAATCAGTTGGTTGCCTCTGTGCTAGCTGAGACCTAAGAAAATGCAGATGCCTGCATTTGTTCCTGAGCCACCATTTTCCAGTTAACAGTCACTGTGGACACACCGATCTTAAGGCTGCAACCCTGAACTGACACTTGAGATCTGCCACACGTTTCTTGCATGACCTCAGGCAAGACATGAGTGCTGGATCGCTGAAGTTGTTCAGCACACTAGAAAGCATCACCCCATCTGCCAGGGGAGGATAATTCCCCCTCTCCCCTTCATTTCACTTGTTTATTTCAATGGTAAGATAGTCAGGAATGGGACTGCCCCTCCTTATCTTCTCCATACAGCGCCTCACACAGCCTTGATCTCGGCTGGAACGCCCAAGTGTTACTGCAATACTAATAATGACTGATAGAAACTTAATTCAGCAAAGCAACCCAATTCTGTAACTGGCTTAGGAAGAAATCCTCCCAGTGTGCACAGCAAGACCCCTATATTAAAACCACTAAACTGTCAAATGAGTGGAGAAACAGGCGAGCAGAAACACGGAGAGGATAAAGCAGACATAAGCATGGTGAATAATACTCCAGGGAGAGAGACAGAGCTGGATGTGGATGCTATGAACATCCCCCTTGACGCCCTCATTTTAAAGGTGTTGCTTCAATCTGGTCCTTGGGCTGATTTTGACCTCGTGGCCCAAGGGTGATCTGTGTTCGCCGTACCAGATGGCAAGGGATGCAGAGAGCAAAGAGTCCCCAGGAATGAGGAAATCTGAGGCTGGGGAGGAGCTGAGCACGCACTGGGCTCAGCTTTGGTCTGATAAGTTTATCAAGCATTGCCGGCTGCTAACTGTCAGCCGGAGAAATGGGCCTGTTAGGGAGGAGGAACAGCTCCCAGGGCAAGATAGGACAGCCCATGCCTTATCAGAGTGCCTGAGCCAAAGAGGGAACTGGAGAGTGAGCACTTTCCAACCACTTCATCTGAACAACAGACAGATTGGCAGGAAAGGCCTGTCAGCCCTTCGCTTCTGCCACCCAGGCATCAGCAGGGAGCCCCCATCCATGCAAATAACCCTGGTAAGTGCAGCATGAGAGTTGCAAATGTGAACACAAGGGCCTGTGGGAATGCACGGAGTAGGTTTTCTGAGGAACATTGCCCAGCGGGGAGAGTCAGATTTACAGCAAACAATTCAGATGCTTACTGAGCAAGCTGCTCCTGTTCAGTGCCCAGAGCAGCAGCCCTCCCCCACACTGCCTTCCCTAGGTTTGGGAGGGGAATCTAGCACTTCAGAATAACACTAGTCACTAAGTTTTGGTGTACAGAGAATTGCTTTGTTTCCCTTTTACTGTTTCTGAAAAAATAGTAAAAAACTCGCCAAGTGAATAGAAGAGGAAAAACCTGACAGTTCCCATCTGAGCTGCAAGGGTAAGGGCCAGCAAATACCCTTTCACTCCTACTCCTAGGGCAGCAATAACCAAATCAATACAGCTGGAGATTGTAGCAGAGAGACTCTCGTACGTTGGGATGAGCTCCCTTGGACCTGTGCAAGCTCCCTGTCCATATACCTCATCCATGACATGGAAGGTAATAAGAGATTCCGGCATGGCACACGCTCTGCTTGGTTTCTGGATAGAACCGGCATCAGATCAGCAGCTTTAACACACTGTGTTTCTTCAGCCTGTCAGACCGCGCTGTTGTCATGTCACTGCTCATTTAGAGCACACAGACAGCTGCCATCCTGCATCCCACCCATCTTTGGGGCTTTGGCTGGGTTCAAGCTGGTAACTTGTGTCCTGCCTATACCAGGGGATTTTACTGAGAGCTGGCCCCAGGGCAAGCCCTGAGCCTGGGCTGGGAGGATGTGTTCACACTTGGCTGCCTGGGTGCAAGTGCTGTCCCAAGCCCTCCATGGGATATGAGGTAGGAAACCTGCAGCAGCATCGGAGGCCAGGATATCTCCAATGTGAGCTATTCACTCAAAGGCTCCCTTTCTGGTAAGGAATATATCTAGGAAGTGATTTAGCTCCTCCTAAAGCACATACCTAAAATAGGACAGAAATCATGCCTTCAACGCACCTACTTCACTCCTTGAAGAGAAAGGGAGACTAGTATCTGTAGACATCTAAAGTTATAAGAGATGAGTCACGCTCCTGTGGTTTTTGCACCACTCTCAGGCCAAATTTCTCACAGCTGTTTCTGCTCCAACCCATAATCTACTGTTCTCCAGGCCATGAGCAACCTTGAAGCCATTTAGTTCTGTGCATCAAGGGCTCCTAAGCAAGTTCCAAGCACAACAGCCACGGTCAGCACTGGCCAACACAACTCTGAGGTTCAAGGCTTCTTCATGAAGAATGAGGAGTTAAAAAACCCTACCCAATTGATTCTGCCTTCCTCTTGATTAATTTTAAAGCAATGGGACTTTATCTTACATCCCAGGCCCTTCTATATTAGGAGCTTTGGTGGGATTTTTGTCAGTGGTCAAGGCCGCTGGTTTCTTCTCTTTATAAAATAGAAGTTATCTCTTGCCTCAGTTGGGGAAAGGGAAGTCAGAGATGATGGAGCATTCCTGTTCTTGAAAGGGCCCCATCCTGAGAGTGTGGACATGGTGAACCAATGTGTCAGTCAGGCATCCTTGCCCCAGCTCCTTATTTAGATATAACCTGTAGTAGCTTGACTGTAAATCAGTCAGGCTCAATGGACACCCAGGTGTGACAGCACCTGGAAAAGAGAGCTCAGAAACTGTAGCTGCTTTTTCTGACATCGTAGCATCATGGAGAACACCGAGTATGAGACTCAGCTCAAAAAAGAGGGATTGTATTCCTGGATTTGCCATTGCCAGCTGATCTGAACCAGTCACTATCCCTCTCTATATCTCAGGTTTCCCATCTGCAAAGTGATGATAATAACACAGATGTGCTCCAAGATCTACAGACAACACCTTGGTAGAATTGCTGCAGATGCACAGTAATCTTACACTGGAACAGCACACAGGATTGTGAAGAATCCCACAGAAGTTGAATAAAGCATCAAAGCAAAGTCTCTGCATTGTGATATGCCAACCTGATATGCAGTTTTCACTTTAAAAATATTTGCCCAAATTTGAGTAGGGGAACTAAAAATGGAACTCGGGTCACCTGGACTTCCAGTCTTGTTTCTTAACCAGCTTTTTATCTTACCTCCTTGAAGTATAATTCAGGAAAACATCCTGAGTTAAAACTATTTTATTGTGAAAAATATAATGTAATATTAGTAAGATTTTATTACTGAATTCTGGAAGATACATACAAAAATATGCACAAACCTCATTTTCCAGTGCCTTACATTAAAGGCAGAGATGACAGGAGAAGGCTTTTGGTTTCGGAGTGAATGTGCACGGAACAGCTGAGGTTTCCCATCTTAACTGGAACTAAGGAAACAATTAGCTAGAAAGTCAGAGCACCATGTCCACATGCCTGCTGCATAGTGCCGCAGCAGTGGTGTTGGAGGACTCAGAAATACTAATGATACTTTGCATTTAAATAGCACTTTCTGCCTAATTATTTCAAAAAGCTACACAATCTTTATCCCTGTTTTACTCCAAGGAAACCAAGAGCCAGGGAGAGAGAAAGTCACTCAAGGTCTTACAGAGAGTGAGTGAAAGACCTAAGAAGTGAACCAAGGCATTTTAGCTCCCAGCTCTTATTCCAATCATTAGGCATTGGGCAAAATTCATATAAACAGCTACATAAGTTGTACCCATGGAATTTTGTGCATCCTCTCCAAATAAACAGGCTCATGACTGTCTTGAAGCCCTGGCACATCTTTGCTCACACTACACCTTGCTACTGCATGTCTGGAAGTTGTCATTCCATACCATATTTCAAGCCAAGCCCCCATGTTCTTAACTATGTTTTCCCACTGAAGTGGGCACAATATATAACAGTCAGCAGGATTTAGCCTCTAACCTGCAAGTTCTCTCACAGCATCGTTATACATTTTGCAGCAGATACAACACACAGATACAACTTTGTGGTTGACAGGATCAATAATTTATATTTTTGGGGCACCACCTCCTCAGCCTCACTTCCTCAATCCCAAAGTCCCCGGCAATCTTAGCTCAGAAGCGAATGTGACTCAGGCCTTCAACTGAAGGGCTGTCATCTGCAAACCCTGAAGACTGGATGTGGCCGTGGTTTTATCACTGGCCACCAGCTGCCTCTAGAGCTCTTGCCTCCTCCCTAATGATTCAGCAAATCTTCTTCGAGGAGAAAAACAAGCATGCAAGTGAACAAATCACAATGTCAGATTACAAAGATGAGCGGGGAAAAACTGCGGCTCAAACGAGGGAGATAAAAGCTGGTGAAGTTGCACGATCCAAGGACTGAAAGGCCTGGCAAAGGCTACTATTTTTTTTTTTTTTTTTTTAAGAGAGAAACAATAATGTGAAAAATAAGGTTGTAATTTGGATTCTTTACACTGAAACTTTGCTAACAATAAAAGAGAACACAATGTGGAAGGAAATGAAGTATATTCTGCCCTCTGCTATCTGGGCATTGCACAGGGCTGATATGAATTTTTACTGGTATAGCTGAAAGCTGAATAGTCCATTATGGTTTATACTGGAACAAATTTCCACCAAGCAAACTATTTTCAGGAGGAGATTCTGCTCTCCACAACCAAGACTTTCAGTAGTTTAGAAGCCCGTTATCAGGCACTTTGAACATCACTGTTCCTAAAAACAAAAAGTTCTGTAAGCCATTTGGTATCTAAGGCATGGCAGAGGGCAGTTAGAAATAATGTTTTAACTTCTAACAGTTTTGGCCACTGTATCATATTTATATATTATAGCCCTTTCCCATAAACATTTTTCTTGCTGTAACCACTCCTGGGGTGGAATACAGTACCAGCTCAACAGCTCATGATACATATTCTATAAAACAGAAACTAAAGTAGAAACTTCAGCCAGACCTTATCTAGGAGATGTAATATTTTCCCTAATGACATTCAGTCCAGACACTCCAGTCAGAGCCTACTCTTCCAAGAATGCCATGAAATCCTAATGAAAAACAAAAAAGTTCACAATTTAGAGAGAGCTCATGTCACATTTGTGGAATCTCTCAGCCTAGTGGGTCCTCTGATAAGTGTGAGACCAAGAAATACAGCCTTCCACTACATTAAAAGCAACACAAAAAATAAGCACAGAAGGAAGAGCTCATGAGCTGTGTGCTAGGGTGCTGAGGATGGATAAACTGAAGCTGACTTTGGTCTCACATTGCTTTCACATTCCACCTGATTTACCTCATTAACCAGCAGAGAGATCAATGTTTTGGCACTAAAATACAACTAAGTAGGACTGACTCACCTTGCTAGGGGTTTGTATCTTCCCCACGAATATTTATGTATTCATCTCACCAACAATTTACAGCTCACAAAACCTCCTTGTCCCCCCTCTGAGGGCTCCCAGAGGGAGCAGGGTTTTGGTATATACACTTACAGTGCCTGCTGCTCTTTCCTAGGAAACACAAAAGAAACAACCACAGCACAAACCGGGGGACCTCCTCTCCAGCTCACCCAGGAAGTTAATGCCATGTAAACCATGTGTAAATAACACCAGGGCTGTCTCTTTTTAAAGCATTTCCCTGTGCAGGGCTGCTACATGCTCTCACAGGTTTGGGGCTTCCCTCTCAAGTCTAACAATAATCAGGTGTGCTCTTAGAGCTCGAGTGGCAGAGCCAAGGGAATTACAGTTTTTAAGGTGAAAAGGGGAGAGTTTATCACCATATTCCAGTATTTAAAAGGTGGCTACAAAACAGATGGAGACTCCCTTTTTTACAAGGAGTCCTATGGAAAAGACAAAGGGTAATGAGTACAAGTTACTCCTGGGGAGATCCCAACTGGACATAAGAGGAAAATTTTTCACAATGAGAACAATCACCCATTGGAATAATCTCCCCAGGGGAGTGATGGATTCCCTAATATTGGACACTTCTAAGATTTAGCTGGACAGGGTGCTGTCTAGACCATGCTTTTTCCAAGAAAGGTTGGACCAGATGATCTGTGAAGTCTCTTCCAACCTGGCATTCCGTGATTCCGATTCTATGAAACTGTGGTACTACTGCACCCTACAGGCTGAAAACAGCAAATAGATTGATTTATTTATTTATTTTAAAATCACAATTTCTAAGCCAGGCTCATTGCTTTGGGAAGGGAGGCTGGCTCATGGCTCCTGGGTATTTGGGGCTGGTGGTTTTACTTCAGCCCCATCCCAGAGGTCTCACAGAATGAACACAGCCATTGCCCATCTTGCTGGGACCACTAGGAGGAACAGCAGCGGCTGTAACACTCGCACACAGACACACACAGACAGACAGACATGCCTCCAGCCCTGACTCAGGGGCCCCATGGTGTTGGGGGGAGCGGGGCTCAGCTGTGCAGGAGCTGCCCATGCACCCCAGCTGCTCTGCGTGGGGTACCCACGGGAAAGGGGGTGCACAGGCTTGGGGGAGGGAAGTTGGTTGCATGGGGTGGAGATGGGGTGGAGACATTCACCTGTTTAAGCTGCCACCTTGTTCCGCTCTATCCCTCTTGATTTGGCACAACAGCAGCAGGCACGCTGGAGAAACTGCCTGGACAGCAGAAACCTCAGCGAAAGTCCGCTTGAGGACTTGCCAGGTGAGGGGACCTGGAGATCTGAAGATGACTGCCTCCCCAGCACGCTGCACGCAGCGAGCCCGGCTTTCTGCCTGCTTCCCCTGGGCTGAGCTGGGGCAAAAGTGTGCAGGAGTCGATGCCAAATGCTGCTGTGAGCACGCTCGCCGGGCCTGTTCCCTCCTGGCCCTCGGTCGGTTTTGCCAGAAGAACAATCTGTGAGATCTCCCACAAGAAACATCTTTCATTTTCTCACCGTAGTCCTTCATCGGCACTTTAAAAAAAAAAAAAAAAAAAAAAAAAATTATCTTAACTGCATTTCTACCTTGCCTCATCCCTGTACCCTACTGAGCTGCAGGAACTACAGGAGAGCAAATGCAGAGGGTGAAGCCTTTTGTGCTGTAAATGCATTTCATACGGATTAGTAGCCAACTGCCCGAGGGTTTTCTGTCAGGTAGTACAGGGGACTTCTGCCATCAGGCAACTGGATGCAGTTTTGCAGGGTTATCTTTTTAAATTTAAATTTTCTTCCCTCAGTGGTGTCACAAGAGTCTTTGATGGTTACCAGTATGTGGTAGGGAGATGGGGCCGGAGTGAAACCAACCCACTGCTTGCATGGTGGAGTCCCTTCTCTTCCAAAATGCGGAGCACAAAAACATACACGTTTCTGCATGTTCCTGTGAAGGCCCCAAATCCATGGATGCCACAGGCAGAAAGCAAACCTGATCCTTTCCCTGTTTCTTAGGGAGGGATACAACAATCCCCAGGTGTCTGGTGAGAACCTGATTGGCCTCAGCAGGGCCCGTCGCCCACACAACGCTATCTTTGTGAACTTTGATGATGAAGAAATCCCAACTAAACCCCTGGATGCTGCTGTACAGACCTGGAAGAAAGTGTGCACCAATCCTGTGGATAAAAAGGTGGAGGAAGAGCTGAGAAAGGTACGTGCCTTGCTCCTGAGCTGGGCTGAGTGCTATACTGCAGCATGCAGACCTCACCAAAAATTGTGGCTGTAACTATTGCTGGCTTCTCTGAAGGTTTTGTGATTATGTTTCCTGTTTAACCTTGTTAACAAGTGAGATATGGGCCTGAGAATTAGACCAGGAACCAAAATTTGGGTTCCATTCACGTTTGATATCAGCTGTACTTTGTGCCCTTAGGAAAACACACATTTGCTATTTCTGTTCTCTAATCTACCAAATGGGAAGGGCTGTAGTGGCATATTCTGCCAGGGATACAGGAATATCTGGTGTCCTGAACAGCTGCAGCTACCCCTGAAATGATGGATGAGATAAAAATTTGTCAAGGCATGACAATGTCACATCAGGGAAGTTGAGTGAGTGACATGTATCTGAGATGCCACTGAAGGCTGTGAAATTTTCTTCCTTAGAGTTGCCCATGTTCTGAAAACAAATTTTGCAGTGTGCCTTCTGCAGAGCTCTCCAGCCCTTTTGGAGAGTAGACTGGCTGCTGGATGGACATTGACTGTTTTTCTGAGGATAATGATGGGCATATCTGAAGTCTGACTGATATAACAAGTCTCGGTAGATGCCACTGAAACCGCTGTGTTCAGTTCATGGTTGTTTCTGTATTGTTTTAGCTCTTTGAAGTCCGTCCTGTCTGGTCTCGGAATGCAGTAAAAGCCAATATCAGTGTCCACCCGGACAAGCTGAAACTTCTGTTGCCGTATTTGGCCTATTACATGGTAAGTCCTTAAATCTGCCCTCGTGCCTGTCTGAGACTGCCAGGAGGCAGAGCAAGGGAGCTGCAGCTGGCTGTTCCTGGTTCTCTACACCTTGGGCAGGATGCGAGGTCTCAGACCTTGGGACACAGGGTTTCCCTGCTCTGATTTTGCAGAGGGCAAGTTGAGGGCAGGGACTTTCTGAGGTCATCTAATAAGTCCGTGACAGAGCTGGCATCCAGTCATTAACATCAAACCACATGCCCTCTTCTTTCCAGATTAAAGGGTTTTGTTGATCTGATACTTCTCCTCTCCCCACTTTGCCAAAGTCACCATACCCCAAGGATCAGCCAGCCTTTCACACACAGTCCAGCACTTCTGTTACTGAGCTCAAGACACTCTGCAGGGTGCTTGCCCTCAGTTCATTATTGGTTTTCTTTTTTCACCTCTAGGTTACATGCCTAATGATATGCCTGTGAAAGCCAAACGCAGCACATATAACTACAGTCTGCCCATCACTGTCAAGAAGCAAGGTATGCTGTGCCAGAAGAAGGACTTTGGTTAAACAAGCAGTGAAGATGGCAAAGAGCAGCTGGCATATGAATCTGGAGAGGATGAGGATGATGAAGAGGAGCAGGAGGAAAAGAACATTAAGCCTTCTGACAGAAGTGAAAATGAAGAAGTTCTGGATTAAATGTGAACTTGGTGAGCAGTGTGGCTGCTGCTGGACAAAATCATCTTTGCTTCTTTTCCCTGAGTGCTGAGGGTTCAGCCACTACGCCCAGGATGTGGGAAAGCAGAACTTGCACCAGGATGACAACGATTTCTCTGCACTGACTGTGGTACCTGCTGATGGCCGTCATTCTGGATGTTAGGGAGCCACTGACCACATTGCCATAACTGCTGGCTAATAAGCCCTCAAGCAAGCTCAGCAAACCCCCAAGAAAGAGCATAGCATCCAAAGCAGCTGGCAATACACCAGAAAAGAGGAGCAGTTGCATTCCCAGGTCTCTCTGTGGGTGGGAAACTCACCTTGGCTGGGCTGGTGGCCATGTGGGACACAGCAAAGGTGCCCGAGGTGGTGCTGGGGGAAGCTCTAGTGCTGCTGGAGTCCCTCAGGCAGGTGCTGCCCGTCTGCTTGTCTATGGGGAATGAAAATACTGTGCCATGACTTCAGCATCGAGCCTCGCTGGCGATCTTGGAAATAAAGCCAGCAGGAAAAACCCCTTTGTGGCAGTGAATAACTCCCTTCTGTGGGGGGATGTAGGGCACGTTGTCCCCACTAGCTGGTGCACTTCTCAGTCCTCTTTTGGCTTCCGTAGGAGTTAGCAAGGACTGAAGGAAGCAGGCAATGGGGCAGAGCTTCAGGTCCACAGAGGTTGGCCACTGGCCGTTAGTCTGCTATTGCTGGCTGGACTGTAGCAGCCTGTCACAGAAATTAAAGATCTGCTGGCATTTTCTGAGTCTTGAGCATTCCCCAGGGTGTTACAAGTGCAAGGTTTCTCATTAGTGGCTGATAATATGGCTTAATATGATTTGAGCCTCCTGCAGTTGTGTGAGGCTTCTCAAGGCTTCAGCATTTTTTATGTCCTCTGGAGTTTTGTCAGACTGAGATATTTCCTTAGGTTTGGCCTCCAGCCCACAAAAGCAACATCTGCAGGGCTCTCACACAGTGATGCCAGTCTACCTCAGCCATGGTTTGCCCTCAGCCTACTGAAGGACAAGTATGTGGAGGCTCCCCTGGTTTACCTTAGAGCCAAGACTGGGTCATGGCATTGACACACAGCTGCCCTCCTAGCTATATATATATGTGAGCCCCCATCTGGGTCTGCCTCCTCAGGTGTGCACTCACCATGGCTCGCTGGGAGATCCTGTGCTTTGCCTTGTGCTCCTGCCTCGGGGTAGCATGGGCTACAACTGTAAGTACAAGAGCCCTTCTTATGGCTTTCTAAGATATTTTGCCTGTGCCTGCCTGAATGAGCAAACTCCTGCTACGTCTGGTCTGAAGCCCATGAAAAAGGCCCTGCAGACCATGACAGTCATGGCAGGGTGTTTTTTTCCTGCCCTAAACATGACAAAGGCTCTCAACAACATTTTTCCAAAAGTTCCTGCACAGTTCTGTGTCAAGTCTGACCTGGTTTACATCTTAAGGCTGAAGGTCCTCCCCTTCTGCCATTTATTTTTGGAAGTGCAGGGGAATTGCTGCTGCCTGCCTGCAGGACATCTGCACAGGCACATCTCCAGCGGCAGCTACCTGTGGGCTTTCCACAAGGGTCCAAAGGGACAGCTGGGGCAAGTGGGCTGCAAGTGGGTCTATCTGTGGGACTGGCCAGGGCAAGGTGTGGGTGCTGGCAACATGGGAAGCCAGAGGCATGAATAACTGTGCAATGGATTTTCTCTTCGCAATGGTACCACATGTAGCTGGGTGTGGTGTACACGGAGGGCGGTTTTGTGGAAGGCGAGAATAAAAAACTGGGACTCTTTGGGGACTACATCGACATCTTCAGAGGGATCCCTTTTGCTGCTCCTCCAAAGACGCTGGAAGACCCCCAACCTCATCCTGGCTGGGATGGTAAGATCCAGATTTTGAATGCCTTTGGTTTGGGGTTTTATTTTCACTTCTCTTTAGTCTGTTATTGACAAGCCAAAGATGTTGTTGCCTGCTTTCATCTACTAATCAGCACCAAGAAAAAGCTCTTAGTCTCATGGTGAGTGTGAGAGTCTGTGTCTAAGTGTTCCTGAGCAACTCCAGTAACCACATGAAGTAACAAATCTGAAGCACGGCACCTGCATCTCCCCGCCCCATGCCTTGGCTGCCCAGATCTAGTTCACATGGGAAAGAGTCCCACTTTGTCACTCCCTCGGACCAGTCACAGTGGCTGGGTATCCTTTGATGCCTCTGCACTGGTCTCAGAGAGTAGAGGCTGGATGAATAGACAGTTTGCAACCAAAGGATGGAGTTGATGCCTCTTACTAGGACCTGCTGTCTCCCCTCTCTTCTTTCAGGAACATTGGAAGCAAAGAAATACAAAAATCGCTGCATGCAGATGACACTTACACAAACTGATGTCCGTGGGAGTGAGGACTGTCTCTATCTGAACATCTGGATCCCTCAAAAGAAGAGACACGGTATGTGCTTGGCAGAGACCTGCAGAGGAGATTCTCGGTTGCCTTTTGTGGACAAATTTATAGAATCATAGAACAGTTTGGGTTGGAAAGGCCCTTAAAGATCATCCACTCCCACCCCCCTGCCCCGGGCAGGGCCCCCTTCCCCCAGCCCAGGGGGCTCCCAGCCCCGTCCAACCTGGCCTTGAACCCTTCCAGGGAGAGGGCAGCCACTGCTTCTCTGGGCACCCTGGGCCAGTGACTCACCACCCAACAGTGAAGAATTTCTTCCTTACATCTCATCTAAAGCTACCCTCTATTTGCTCTAATCGTTCTGGAGCATCTCTCAGCAGCTATGTTCCCATAGTGAGCAACTGCAGGAGCACTGATTTTCAGAGGGAAAGGTGAGAGACATGTCAACCAATGTCCCTCAGCTGCAGCCTGGTGGGAGTTTCAGCCTCTTCTACAGAGTGTGGACTTCCTTTGCCATAGGCTACTGCAAAACATCATGTCTGTTCATGCCCAGGTGGAGTGATGCTCAGCGAGTCGATATGGGGACAGATGGGCAGGACCTGCTAGCTCTGTTGTGGCTCACACTGCTTTTCTTCTTCATCTCCCAGTCTCTACCAACCTGCCAGTGATGGTCTGGATCTACGGCGGCGCCTTCCTTTTAGGAGGGAGCCAGGGAGCCAACTTCCTCAATAACTACCTCTACGATGGCGAGGAGATCGCTGTGCGGGGCAATGTGATCGTGGTGACCATCAACTATCGCCTGGGGCCCCTGGGCTTCCTGAGCACCGGAGACGCAAACTTGCCAGGTACTGTAGCTGCTCCCTCTTCAGGGGACCCTGTCGTGGGTCCCCAGCTTATCAGCTTTGCTGTGCCCTTGCTCAATGGTGGGTGCTCTCTATTGCTCAGGGAACTATGGGCTGAAGGACCAGCACATGGCTATTGCCTGGGTGAAGAGGAATATCAAGGCCTTTGGGGGTGACCCAGAAAACATCACCATCTTTGGGGAATCAGCCGGTGCCGTCAGTGTCTCCCTGCAGGTGTGTTGTCTGTGTCGGACCCCACACACAGCCCCTTCTCTTCTCTGTAAACAGGAGAGATGGTCCCCTTGGCACTCCAGCACTTTCCTCCACATGCTGCCTGATTAACATCCTCCCCTGCCCGCGGATAGCAATGCTCAGCCTCTTTGCTTTGTAGCTGATTCTTCAGTTTAATCAGCCCTACCACTGCAGCCAAGTGTCCTTGTTTTTGGGACTGCAGATGAAATAGAATTTACTTGCCATGTCCCCCTACTCTGCTCCTCTTCTCACCTTATCACCTTTTAACTTTAACTGCTGAGACTGTTAAACAGCACGAGAGCAGGCAGCTTCCCCTGGCCTGGTGCACAAGCTGTGAGGTGATCAGCCGGATCTGGCAGGCGATGGTCTCTCCAGGATTTTGCACCTGAAATTCTCTTGTTTCTATTTTGTACCACAGACGTTGACCCCAAAGAACAAGGGCCTGTTCAAGAGAGCCATCAGCCAGAGCGGCGTTGGTCTCTGCAGCTGGGCCATCCAGAAGGACCCTCTCTCCTGGGCTAAAAAGGTACCGTGTGAGTCTTGCCTGAAGGAATGGAAAAAACAAAAAAGTGATTCCCTAGAGAAAAGCATAACTAGCAAGGGATTTTGCAGGAGCTATGCTGCCAAACAGAGCTTTGGAAACACTCTGCTTTGAGATTAAAACCAACCCCTCCTCTGCCTCTATCAAGCTGGTAATGAAACCTGGCTTTGGAAGGTAATGCTAGGAGATTTGTCTCTCTCTCTCCCCCTGCAGCTTGGACAAACTGTGGGCTGCCCCACAGACAACACCACTGTCTTGGCCAACTGCCTGCGCATCTCCGACCCCAAAGCCGTGACACTGGCCTACCACCTGGAGCTGATCAACCTGCCCTGTAAGTCCCCCGGCCCGCGCTGTGGTCCACCACCCCCCCAGGGCTCACCATGCCTTCGGCAGGACGCTGGGGTGATTGCCAGGAGTGTTGAAGCACTGCTTGTGTCCTTCTGAAAGGGGACAATAATGACAGATCTTGCAGTCACCCTTCTGCAAGCAGGTGCACATTGTGCTGAATGAATGCTGTCCATCATGCAATGGCAGCAGAGGAATTATCCAAGGGCCATGCCTTGGCCCCAAAGCAACTGCCTGGGCTTTCTGTCTTGTGAAAGTAGCAAGAGCAACTCCAGAACACAGCTTACAAAAAAAAAATGACCACAACCCTGCTATTTTCATTTGAGTCGCTGGGTGGAGTGTAAGACTCTCACACCGGATAGATAATGCTTCTGCTTTTGCTGCCTGTCGGGATTTCTATCCCAAGAAGACTCTCCTCTGCTTGCTCTCCTCCGGCTCCTAGCAAATATTCCCAGTGTTTAGCCATGCTCAGGACAGAGAGTGCCCAAGTGCAGCTGCACTGGCCGGAGCCGGCTGTCCTGGCAATGAGTGTGGCCAGATAGAGTGGGGAGAAGAAGTCTCCTGTTCCCCACCTTTGGCTGGGATTTTTGGGAAGGGGCCGGGGGAAGATGAAGAGGAATTGTTGATGTTACCTGCCAGCATTTGGCTGGCAGATCTCTTGTTCCTCTCCCCCACCTACAGGCATGAGTGTGGTCATGCTGAAGTCATCATCCAAGCTCTCATTCACCTCAACCTACTCTTTCCACAGCTTCTTGAGCCATGGGATACATCAGGCTACACATCTGTCTTTTCTCAGCTCCTAACAGACTCCAGTTTTGTCTCCTGCTGCAGCTCCCCTGGTTCACACACTCGCCCTCACTCCTGTCATCGATGGAGACTTCCTCCCAGACATGCCAGAGAAACTCTTTGCCAATGCTGCTGACATTGACTACATTGCTGGGATCAATAACATGGATGGGCACATCTTTGCTGGCATTGATTTACCTGCTATCAACCGCCCACTTGTGAAAATCACTGCGTAAGTGAAAGATGCTCTTAAAACCCTTAACAGGAGGAACCTTATTTTTAATGTAGCCCCCAAACTCCAAGGAGTTATACCTGAATGGACAGGGCACTACCTTCAAAACAGGATGTCACTCCAAGCCAGGGTGCCTAGGGCATGTGTTGCCAAGTCCAGAGTGTTTAAAAGAGAGGACCAGGTAGTGAGGAAGCCTCCCCATCTATCTTTAAGGTGCTCCTGAGCTCAGCACCAGCGACAGGTTTGGCAGCCCTGATGCTCTCCCTCCAGAGCAGGCACATGCCAGACATGCTGGGCACCCTCTGAGAGAGACTCCGTTTTGCAGACAGAAGGAGCTTGTGGCCAATTTGGCCCCAGGCCAAATTTCTTCTGAGAAAGCTGGGAAGCACATGTCTGCCATCTATGATCTGGAATGAAATCACTGTCTTTTACTCCCCCAAACTGTTGCTAATCACAGGGTCGGATGTGAACATCAACAGGAGCTGGGATTCATTTCCATGAGCCTTGCCCCTTTTGAAGCCGCCGGTCTGTAATTAGTTGCTACTACTTGTCTTTTCAGGGATGAGGTCTACGATTTGTTGAAAGGACTTACTGTGGACAGGGGTGAGCGTGGAGCCAATGCAACATACAATATCTACACGCAAGTGTGGGGTGACAAACCGGACCAGGAGACCATGAAGAAGACAGTGGTGGACGTGATTACTGACTACATCTTCCTGGTTCCCACACAGTGGGCACTGAATCTGCACCGGCAGAATGCCCGGTGAGCAGCTCAGCCCTGGCAGGAGCCCAATGCCTGCCATGGGGGCTGAAACACTGCGTTTCCAGCACAAGGGGCTGATGAGTGGGTTAAGAGGGCTGAACTTGAAGGAGGAAGGCTTTTTTGGTACTGAGTACATGCTCACATGTAGCTTGTACAAACACTATTTCTCTAATGCTGCATGGGACTCATGATGGGAATTTGTTTTAAATTCCCATCATGAGTTTGTTATAAATTCCCATTCAACCAAGTTTTTGCCTCCTAAAAACTTCCAACTTCATCCTAGCAATGTTTCATGTAGTGAGACATGGCAGTTGGATGATATGAGGGTTAGGGTAAGAATCTGAAATGGAAATTAAGAATTACCAGAGAGATGGATGTTTTCCCCTGAGACCACTTAGACGCATGTGAGCATCTTCCAAGGCTGAATGTCTGGCTCTGCCCGTATTTGCAGAGTGGTTATGAATCTGCACCTCTTTCTCTGCTCTCCACTCACAGCTGCTTAGCAAGTCTATTTTATTTCCCCAGGAATGCCAAGACATACAGCTACTTGTTCTCCCAGCCATCCCGAATGCCCATCTACCCAAGCTGGGTAGGGGCAGACCATGCTGATGACCTGCAGTATGTGTTTGGGAAGCCCTTCAGCAGCCCCCTGGGCTACCTGCCCAAGCACAGGACTGTCTCAAGTGCCATGATTGCTTACTGGACCAACTTTGCCAGCACAGGGTGAGTGATTCCAATTCCACATTTGGGGCTTGCTGCAGCACTTCAACCCGCTGCTTTTGCCTATTCACTTCTCAGGTGCAATTCCCAAAAGTGGGGTGTACTCTGTAGTTCTGTTGTGAGCCTGGCTCTATGTCTTCCAGTGGTGGAGTTTGCTCTGGGTCCTTTTCATCCAGAGAACACCTGGGGACAGCAGAAGCATTTACAGAACTTGTAAACTGTGCTTAAACTTAATGATGAAGTTTGCTTCCGAATCCTGGCACAGACAGGAGTTAAGCCCCTGAGTGCAGCCAGGGACGATGCTAGTGGGGATCAAGGGAGGAGACTGCAGGTCAGCAACTCACTTCTAGCAGGAAGAATTGCTATTGCTTGTCCCAATGTCAAATTCTCTCTTTGCATTCACTTAAAGCCTCACTTGAGCAGACGGAGTCCCTGCCAAACGCCACAAACCTTACTGCACCCTCAAGCTGCCCTGATAAAACTGAACTTCTACGTACCTTTTTTCCCCAGTGATCCCAACAAAGGGAATTCAGAGGTGCCAGTTAACTGGCCACCCTACAGCACTGAGAACACTTACTACTTGGAAATCTACAACAAGATGAACCAGAACTCTGTGAAGCAGAACCTGAGATCCCGGTATGTGGACTTCTGGAACTCGGTTTATCAGAATCTGCCACAGGTTGCCAACATCTCCCTGGCTGAGGAACTGCTGTGGAACTGAGAAAACACACCTTTTAAAGATAGGCTGAATTCAATAAAGGCTTGCTTGTAACTGAGCAATTCTGGCTTCTCTGTGTTTTTGCTGTGACAGAATTTTCTCTCTAACATTAAGGTCAGGCAGCAAGAGACACCCCGACTCTGAGCAAAGTGCATTCCCCTGGTCCAGAACACAGCAATGTCCCGGTGAAGCTGCTGACACACAGGGCTGCGGCTTGACCTGCTCTGCCAGCCCTTTGGCTCGGGGTTTTTGGCTCAGGGCTTTTGTTTCCTCGTGGCCAGCCTGGCAGGACAGCCCCAAGCCCGGCCTGTCCTCTGGATAGCCCCGCAATACCATCAGCAGCCATGCTGATAATAAAGCAGCTCTTAGGTAATTACAGTTGTAATATAAGCACACGAACTAACGGGTGAGCTGCTGCCATACGTGCACAGAAATCAGCTCAGAAACTCAAAGAGGGAGAAATAAACCCACATGGGGGAGGTTATTCTGCACTGGTTTAGGGGGTCAAGCCCCTCCTTGGCAGAGGCCAGGCTGGGCTGGGGAGCTCCAGCTCCGAGCCTGGGAAGGATGAGGAGCACGACTACCAACCGGCCGCCGTCTCCATCATCATCTTCATCTCCATTTCCATCTTCATCTCCACCCCCACGCCGCGCCCGTAGGAACCGTTCCTGTAGGAACCTTTGTGCGGCGGAACCTTTGTGCGCCGGCCCGTGGGGCGGGCACGGTCTGTGGGGGGGGAAGGGAGCGGCTGACGGGAGGGCCCGAGCCCGAGGCCGGGCAGCGATGGCGGCGGAGCGGCAGTGGCGGGAGCGGGGTTCGGCTGTGCTGGAGCTGCCTCGTTCGCCGCGGTTGGTGTGCGTGGAGTACCCGGGACTGGTGCGGGACGTCGGGGCCATGCTGCGGACCCTGGGAGGAGAGCAGGGGGTGTCGCGGGTGAGGGGGGAACGGCGGGAGCGCGGAGGTTGCCCAGAGGGTGGGAGCGCAGGGAGAGTGAGGAAGCCCTGAGGGTCTCGGAGAGGTGTCAGAGCTCAGCCCTGACCCTTGGCGGGGGGCGGGCAGCGAGCCCCACGCTGTGGGACCCCCTTGTCGGGGCCGTTCAGGCCCAGCACACCCCCACGCAGGCTCCACGTGTGGTTTCAGGGTGAAGCCGATGTTCTGGGCCGCTGCTGCCCACGGGAGAGGAGGCGGGAGGCGTCGGGCAGGGTGGGAGATGCTGACAGAGACTCTGCCTGCCCTCGCTGACAGATCTACGCAGACCCTGCCAAAAGGCTGGAGCTGTATTTCCGCCCCAAGGACCCGTACTGCCATCCCGTATGTGCCAATCGCTTCCCCACCTCCACCGTGCTGCTCAAGGTGAAGAGGAGGACCAAGAAGAAGAAGCAGTTGGATGCCGAAGAACAAATCCAGCCAGAAGTCCAGTTTGAAATGGAAATTCTTGGGACTGTCACCACTGTTTACAAATTTCAAGGTAGTACTTGGGTTTGTGTCTACGGGGCTTAAAGACAAATTCATCTGATGGGAAAGGGAAGTGTTTCCCTTCAGACAATTCAAGACTGGAAAGAAAATCAAGCGTCCAGTTGTTACAGCCTCCTTGCTGTACAAACCTTTGCATGAACTTATCAGGCTCCTGCTCCTGAAGGCTGAGTGTTGTGAGAAATATTGCAATATTTACAACGAACCTCACAATGTTTTAACTGTTGTTTCCCACAGGAATGTCTGATTTCCAGTACCTGGCAATGCATTCTGGTCCTGATGGCAAACAAACTTCCATGTATGACAAAGTCCTAATGCTCAAACCAGAGAAGGAAGAATTTTTCAATAGAGAATTACCTCTCTACATCCCACCACCAATTTTCTCACGTCTGGACACTCCCGTTGACTATTTTTATCGGCCAGATATACAACACCGGTTAGTGATTTTTCTCATAATGTAGTAAGTAGCTGTGTTGGTTCTGGAATGGGTAGATGGTGAAACATTCTGTTTGTTTGTTACATACTTCTAACAGAAAGTCTTCAACTTAAGATTTCCTTTTCTATCACTTGAAGATGCCTCCAATCCATTCTGATTTCAGTGGTGTTATAGGATCTGTGCTCTTGAAGCATCAGAGCAGCACTAAATATATCATTGGTGTATTTCACCTGTTTAAGCTGCCACCTTGTTCCGCTTTATCCCTCTTGATTTGGCACAACAGCAGCAGGCACGCTGGAAAAACTGCCTGGACAGCAGCAACCTCAGCGAAAGTCCGCTTGAGGACTTGCCAGGTGAGGGGACCTGGAGATCTGAAGATGACTGCCTCCCCAGCACGCTGCACGCAGCGAGCCCGGCTTTCTGCCTGCTTCCCCTGGGCTGAGCTGGGGCAAAAGTGTGCAGGAGTCGATGCCAAATGCTGCTGTGAGCGCGCTCGCCGGGCCTGTTCCCTCCTGGCCCTCGGTCGGTTTTGCCAGAAGAACAATCTGTGAGATCTCCCACAAGAAACATCTTTCATTTTCTCACCGTAGTCCTTCATCGGCACTTTTAAAAAAAAAAAAAAAAAAAAAAAAAAAATTATCTTAACTGCATTTCTACCTTGCCTCGTCCCTGTACCCTACTGAGCTGCAGGAACTACAGGAGAGCAAATGCAGAGGGTGAAGCCTTTTGTGCTGTAAATGCATTTCATACGGATTAGTAGCCAACTGCCCGAGGGTTTTCTGTCAGGTAGTACAGGGGACTTCTGCCATCAGGCAACTGGATGCAGTTTTGCAGGGTTATCTTTTTAAATTTAAATTTTCTTCCCTCAGTGGTGTCACAAGAGTCTTTGATGGTTACCAGTATGTGGTAGGGAGATGGGGCCGGAGTGAAACCAACCCACTGCTCGCATGGTGGAGTCCCTTCTCTTCCAAAATGCGGAGCACAAAAACATGCACGTTTCTGCATGTTCCTGTGAAGGCCCCAAATCCATGGATGCCACAGGCAGAAAGCAAACCTGATCCTTTCCCTGTTTCTTAGGGAGGGATACAACAATCCCCAGGTGTCTGGTGAGAACCTGATTGGCCTCAGCAGGGCCCGTCGCCCACACAACGCTATCTTTGTGAACTTTGATGATGAAGAAATCCCAACTAAACCCCTGGATGCTGCTGTACAGACCTGGAAGAAAGTGTGCACCAATCCTGTGGATAAAAAGGTGGAGGAAGAGCTGAGAAAGGTACGTGCCTTGCTCCTGAGCTGAGCACTATAATACAGCATGCTGTGTAGGAAAAATCTGCATGCAGCCATTTTCTCCCGACTTCCTCCAATATTCTTGGTGATTGTGACTGACTGATACAGCATGAGTCGGTGGACACCGCTGACACTGCTGTGTTCAGTTCACTTATGCAAGTCAAAATTTAAATCTGTGTTTGCAGCCTATTCACATAAAGTTCTTTTTTGTGCCACTAGTTCTTACATCACTGTTCTGATAGCTCATACTGTGGGCCAAAGGCACTGACACAGAAGAAAGTCCACTTGGAAAGCTGAACAGCCAGTGGTTACCCACTTCCCACTGTTCCATGGTTGTTTTTGTATTGTTTTAGCTCTTTGAAGTCCGTCCTGTCTGGTCTCGGAATGCAGTAAAAGCCAATATCAGTGTCCACCCGGACAAGCTGAAACTTCTGTTGCCGTATTTGGCCTATTACATGGTAAGTCCTTCAATCTGCCCTCGTGCCTGTCTGAGACTGCCAGGAGGCAGAGCAAGGGAGCTGCAGCTGGCTGTTCCTGGTCCTTTACTGTTTCTGAGGTCCTACCACTAATTACCTGAGGTTAATGTTACGTAATGAGAAAGAGGGAAGGAAACCCTTGCTTTTGAACAGAAGTTGAAGCTATGGAGGATTCAGTAACTATTTGCTTCATTGGTTCTAATTGGCTTTGCAGTTCAGTCAGACACTCAAATTGACTATCCATCTGGTAATGGTAGCAGAATTCTTCCAAACACACACTTTATTGTGATCTCAAACAGTTTGTAAAAGCACACAAATATTTGTGCTTTGATGCATTGATTTCCCAAGTTTCAGTATCTAAATTCTGGCATGGCAAGTGAGGAAAGAGCTGGTAAAAGAAATAATCCTTGGGCCATGAGGGGAAATACTAGAATTTTCTGGGAAGCTCTGCAACACTGTACTGGTTTTTTGTAACCATCTTTCCCCATGTGTGTCTGTGCAGTTAACAGGTCCCTGGAGAAGCTTGTGGGTTAGGTTTGGGTATGACCCCAGAAAACACCCTGAAGCAAAGATTTATCAAGTACTGGACTTCCGAATTCGCTGTGGAATGAAATATGGTAAAAGGGCCCAACCCACAGAGACATTCTCTCTGCTTTCTGGTTAATCCTGGTAGTACTTTTCTTTTACTTGTTTTTTAAACTCTTGCTGTGTTTCTGCTCTGATGAAGATGACGCCTTTTGAGCTCATTGCTTACTTTAGCTGTTCCGTAAACTCCTTTAGTACTCTATTTAATAGGATGCAGTACGTCTTTCCTCATTTGGCACATTCCAAACTCAGTGGACAGCTGGCTGACTTTCCCTCTCCTTGTGTCCAAAGCCCAAGTAGATGTAGCAGACTGTCTTCCCTCTTGCTCAGGGAAGGCACTGAGCAGTAGATTCTGTTACTTACACAGTAGCTTTTCCTCAAGGACCTCAACATCTTGTGCAGGACACCAGGTCTCAGGGCAAGTTGAGGGCAGGGACTTTCTGAGGTCATCTAATAAGTCCGTGACAGAGCTGGCATCCAGTCATTAACATCAGACCACATGCCCTCTTCTTTCCAGATTAAAGGGTTTTGTTGATCTGATACTTCTCCTCTCCCTACTTTGCCAAAGTCACCATACCCCAAGGATCAGCCAGCCTTTCACACACAGTCCAGCACTTCTGTTACTGAGCTCGAGACACTCTGCAGGGTGCTTGCCCTTGGTTCATTAGTTTGTTTTTTTTTTTTTTCACCTCTAGGTTACGCTCCTAATGATATGCCTGTGAAAGCCAAACGCAGCACATATAACTACAGTCTGCCCATCACTGTCAAGAAGCAAGGTATGCTGTGCCAGCAGAAGGGCTGCCTGACTCTTCTGGTTTACCCCATCCTAGTCACAGGTGGTGAAGGGTCTTCCCATGTTCTAGCTAAGCCAAAATTGGAGCTTTATTTCTGGTTATAATATGGTGCTGCTGTTAAATCAGTAGATGAGTCTCCTGCTGGGAAGTGGTGTGAGAGTTTTGGATGCGTGTCTGGCTGAGCCACAGTATTTATTAGCAGACAGGAGGAGTTCTGCAAGCAGCTGTGGGAATTCAGCATTCCCTTCTGTTCGGATATAGTGCAGAGTAAGGGGAGAATTGTTCTCTTTTCTTTGTTAAGGGAGAGTAGAAAAGGTTAAAATTATGAACAAATGCGCTGCGGAAAAAGCTGCCAAACTCAGCACCTTTTCCATAACTCCAGTAGCGTCGCTGAGGAATGAGCAGTGTGGTTTTGGTTGCTGCGTTGGTCTGGGTTTTGCTGAGCAGCAAAGTTGAATCAACATAGAGAAGTGACAGTACAATGCCATGGAGTGAAAGATGTCACTAATTAGAACTTTTTTTTTTTTTTTTTTTTTTTTGTCTTTCAGTAAGTCATACAGTCAGTGTACATGATCTGAAACAGGGGCTTGGTACATCTGGTGCGTCCGGTGCAAAAAAGCCTGCCTCCAGCAGGTATAAACTGAAGGTAAGCATTACGCTCTTTGACCAGAACCTTGAAAGAGCTTGCTGAAAAAGGGCTGCTTCCTGTTTTGTCAGTCATTAAAGGGACAGTGGCGAGTGAGTTGGTGTCTTCAGGTTTACCTGGGAAGCTGCTAGTTGTACCTGTCACTACAGAACATCACCTGCTGTGCACTGAATGTATTTCTTACATGCTGCAAGATGGGATTGGTACTCTCAGCCCTAGTCTTAGATGTGATGAGCGTTTTGTTTCAGTTGATAAAATGGGAATTCTATGTGCAGTGAAGTGCAAAAAATCACCATGTATTTATCAGGTTGTCCTGCAAAATCCAGCAAGGCAAAATAAATGAACAGGAGTCCTTTACTTTTCCCTTTTGCTAGAATGAAACCTATGACCCACTGTTACGCAGTACCAGGCTGCAGACAGAGCTGCAGTTTGAAGAGATGCAGTGTGTTCTCTGCACAGCTGTGCTCTTGTGACTGTGGCTGTGGTGAAATTTTGCTGCATTCCCCATTCAGCTTTATCTTTCGCTGTATGCAGACCTGTGCTTTGGAATCGATTTGTGTTGGAAGTGCCTTGTTCCTGAATCAGTCCATTGGAAATGCTTTTCAGTTATGCCACAGTTGTCCTGTTACACCATAAAAACACACGTTAACCCGTTCCTTCTTTCCTCCTCTTAGGAATCCATCTACATTTTCCGAGAAGGAGCCTTACCCCCTTACCGGCAGATGTTCTACCAGCTCTGTGATTTGAATGTGGAGAGGTATTGCACACTGGTAGCCGAGTCCTCTGTTAGAGATAGATTTCAAAGCCTGTTGTTTATATCCAGTCCATTGCCCTCCCTCTCCTTGACCAGAAACTGAAGAGCTGTTTAGCTTCTGAATAAAAGTAGAACAGGCTTTTCACACACCAACTTCCTTTCCCGTAGGACAATTACCCAAATAACCAAATATGCTATTCTAACTCAATGAAGTAAAATGCAAGTTAGCCACAGTCTGTCTTCTATGAGGAAGCCTGTGACTAAACATAGAAGATTAACATTTCCTTCCCTTTTGCTGCTTTTTAGCCTACAGAAAATCATCCGTCGGAATGACGGCACAGAGTCAGAATGCACGGAGCGGGACGGGTGGTGCCTTCCAAAGACGAGCGATGATCTGCGAGATAGCATGTCTCTGATGATAAAGCAGATAATCAGATCCACAAGACCTGGTAAGGATGCTTCTGAACATCAAAGTGCCTTACCGCCCTCCTGCCTCCTACGGCAGCGTGTTACTACCTTCCCAAAGGTGTTGAGCTGTTACGGGCTGAGTGATGATGTTGCAGTCAGCGCTGGGGCAGCGGTGGTCCCGTATTTGCCTCCTCCTTCGTGCTATGTCTGGTGTTGTGTTCTAGCTTATTTCAGTGTGTTAGCTAAGGCTGTTCTGCAGCGTCAGTGTGGGTTGAGATTAGGAAGGGCTGGGAATAAAGGCTTTCTGTTTCATCTCCCCAGTGTCATGGCCTTCCAGTTTTAAATGTCTTTGCACAGTGATAATCGAGATCTTATTCTTACTGATGTATCTGTTGGTGGCATTTTACTTTTTATTGGTGTTATTAATTGAACAAGAAGTGAGGAAATTATTTTCGCATGATGCTGGGCCAAAACACTATCCCAGTGACTTCAGCCAGAATCAGCTAGGAGAGGAGGCACAGCACTGCAGCTCTGCCGCTGTGCTGCAGCGTTCCTGGAGTATGAAAACAAATTGCTCTGGGCTTGATCAGATTCTATTAAGATGTGCAACATTAGCTGTGCCCCTCCAGCTTCTGCCTTCCTCTCGCATTTTATGAACTTTGTTGCAAATGTCCTTGGGTTTCACTGAGGCATCACACTGTCTTTCTTTCTTCCTTCCCAATTTAGCTCTTTTCTCAAATACAACAAGCAGTGAAGATGGCAAAGAGCAGCTGGCATATGAATCTGGAGAGGATGAGGATGATGAAGAGGAGGAGGAAGAGGACTTCAAGCCTTCAGATGGGAGTGAAAATGAAATGGAGACAGAAATTCTGGACTATGTGTGAACTCGGGCTGCTGCTGGACAAAATCATCTCTGCTTTTGTTCCCTGAGTGCTGAGGATTCAGCCACTACGCCCAGGATGTGGGAAAGCAGAACTTGCACCAGGATGACAACGATTTCTCTGCACTGACTGTGGTACCTGCTGATGGCCGTCATTCTGGATGTTAGGGAGCCACTGACCACATTGCCATAACTGCTGGCTAATAAGCCCTCAAGCAAGCTCAACAAACCCCCAAGAAAGAGCACAGCATCCAAAGCAGCTGGAAATACACCAGAAAAGAGGAGCAGTTGCATTCCCAGGTCTCTCCGTGGGTGGGAAACTCACCTTGGCTGGGCTGGTGGCCATGTGGGACACAGCAAAGGTGCCCGAGGTGGTGCTGGGGGAAGCTCTAGTGCTGCTGGAGTCCCTCAGGCAGGTGCTGCCCGTCTGCTTGTCTATGGGGAATGAAAATACTGTGCCATGACTTCAGCATCGAGCCTCGCTGGCGATCTTGGAAATAAAGCCAGCAGGAAAAACCCCTTTGTGGCAGTGAATAACTCCCTTCTGTGGGGGGATGTAGGGCATGTTGTCCCCACTAGCTGGTGCACTTCTCAGTCCTCTTTTGGCTTCCGTAGGAGTTAGCAAGGACTGAAGGAAGCAGGCAATGGGGCAGAGCTTCAGGTCCACAGAGGTTGGCCACTCTGGCCGTTAGTCTGCTATTGCTGGCTGGACTGTAGCAGCCTGTCACAGAAATTAAAGATCTGCTGGCATTTTCTGAGTCTTGAGCATTCCCCAGGGTGTTACAAGTGCAAGGTTTCTCATTAGTGGCTGATAATATGGCTTAATATGATTTGAGCCTCCTGCAGTTGTGTGAGGCTTCTCAAGGCTTCAGCATTTTTTATGTCCTCTGGAGTTTTGTCAGACTGAGATATTTCCTTAGGTTTGGCCTCCAGCCCACAAAAGTAACATCTGCAGGGCTCTCACACAGCAGCACAGAGCTGGACTCCTGGATACATACGGATGTGTGTACGTGTATATTCACACAGAAGGTGCAGTTGAGGACTGCCTCCTCAGGTGTGCACTCACCCTGGCTCGCTGGGAGATCCAGTGCTTTGCCTTGTGCTCCTGCCTCAGGCTGGCAGGGGTTGCCATGATAAGTACAAAGGCATTTCTAACAGCTTTAAGACTGGATAAGCAGGGTCTGAGCATCGATCGGTTGGTCTGGGGACACCTCCAGCCTGGGTAAGGTGTGGGTCCTGGCAATCTGGGAAGCCAGAGGTGTGAGGGGCTCTGCAGTGGACTTACCTTCTGACTGCAGAGATGGATGAAGGAGAGACACAGTGGACACACCACTGCCTGTTAGGAATATGCGCTTGGGTATTAGCAGGCACCGGGAATAAACACTCTTCAAAATGCTAAGGAAAACACCTGAAGCCAAACTTTCTATCAGCAGGAGGCCTGTGGCCAAAGCAGCCAGAAATCACTTGTGCCAGAGTTAATTTACTTCCCAGCCATTTTCAAAATTCCTCTGTCCAGGAAGACTCCGGTGATTTGGATGTTTAATTCTGCCTGAGCAGGTAACAGCATTACCAGCTGTCTGTACAGTATGATCTTTTCATATGCAAAAGCTCAGGGTTTAAGTTAATCTGTGTAGCCAAAGGCACAGAGGAATTCTGGACAGTGCAGCTGCCATCTTTAATACCCACATTCAGAATTGCCACACTATGCAGGTAACCACTGTGGTTTGTGCAATTTTAAAATAGAAAATATACGTGCTGGCTGTGATAGGAAATGAGCCTCAAACCAAGGCAAACCACTGTCTCCACGCCATAAGGACCAGCCACTGCATCTGCTCTTAAAGCCCTTGCTTATACCAAAAGAAGTGAAGCCAGTGAATTGGATATCACATTTATGCAACTGGAAAACGTAACAGTTTCAACAACTCGCAGGTTCAAATTAATAGGGTTCACTTGAAAATCAGGTGCTGGTCCCTCGAACAAAAAGCCTGTATCTTGGTTCAAACAAAAAACAAGACTCAACTCAACAGAGTTAGCGTTAGGTACTAACGACAGGCGCAAGTGCCGCCTCCTCCCCAGGTTGACAACTCTCTCCAGGACCGTGCTGGCATTTTGGAGAAGTAGGACAGGACACCCCCTGCCTTGAGGCAGAGACATTTGAGCATCAGTATTTTATTGCAAAGACTAATTACATTGCTGTGTACAAGTCACACCAGGCAGTGTGCTCCTTCATTGAAGTGGTACAAAATACATATGGTACAGCCAGTCCCTCGGGTGATGCTGGGCTGCTGGGGGACAGCGGCGGGGGCCAGCATGGCCCCAGGGTGGGCAGGAGCTGGCAGGCACAGAGCAGGGGGGAAGCCCCTGGTGCCCACGGGCAGGGGCTGGGCTTTGGGCAGGGCTGGGGGGAGGCAGGAGGCTGCCCCTGCGTCAGGGAGCCAGGGGCTCCCATCATGTGCAGCGCTGGGCGATGCCACCCGAGGGGACACGGGGCTGGGAGAGCTCAGTGCCAGCCACGCTCGAACCCGAGCAGCCTCTTCCCTACCTGGTGCCAGGGACCCACAACCCAGCCCCGGGGAAGGCGCTGTGCCTGCCCAGCAGCACGGACAGACAGGAAAAGGGAAAGATGGGAAAAGAGATGGAGTCAGGAGCCAAAAAAGGTCCCCCTTCAGTTAGTGTTTCCTATAGCGATTAAAATAAGCATCTCTGCTCCTGCTTGAGTGACTAGTGGTAGAGAAACAAGGGAGGGGGTGGCTGGGGGGGGTCTGCACCCCACGAGCACAGCAGAGCCATGCTGCTGCCACCGCTGTCCCTCCCAGCAGCCTTAAATACCAGGGTGGGGAGAGGAGAGGGCCTGGGCTGCAGGGCAGGGGGAGGCTGGATTAGTAAAATGTACAAGTTCGTCTCTTCTATTTACAACCAATAAATATTGAGAAAAAAAAAAAAATCAGTAAACTTTGTTTTATACAAAAAAAAGTCTCATTGCTGCTTCTCCCATGGTCAGTGTTTGAAAAAGTCTGGTTAAAGCCCAAGGTGAGTGGCACTTTCTGTGGGTCAGGCGCTGGTGCCCGGAGCACCCTGAGCTCTCCAGCTCCTCGCCTGCCCACACAGACCCAAGGTCTCTATTTACACAAGTTCAGACAGAAATCTGTTCTCCTCCTCCTCCTCGCTAGGCTGGCAGCGCAGGGGGCACGGCCCAGAGCTTCCCCCGACGGTAGAAGAGACACTGGCGTTTGATCTTTGGTGCAAGTTTGAACGCTGGAGGATGTGCTGGACGAGGGAGAGGAGTGAGCCCACGCACGGAGGCTTCCAGTTGTTGAGGGCACGAGGCTCCATCACGGCACCAGCACAGCCCATCACGGAGCTCTGAGCAGCGGTGTGAGGCTGCGTCCTTTCCAGCTTCCCCCCCCCCAAGCCCGGAGCACCCGCAGCTTCTCCCAAGGGAAGGACAGGCAGAGGTGCGTGGTGGTGGCGACGCTAGTTATCCCGGGGAGGAAGGACGTGGAGGTAAAACAACACCAGGAAATCCGGGAAGGGGAGCACCCCACCACGGGGGAGGCTTTGCAGCCCCGGGCGGGGGGATGGCTCGTGCTCTGCTCCTTGCAAACGGCCCCTCTGCGAGTCACCGCTCCCCGGCTCGCTCGGACACAAGGCACCTACGGCAGAGGTGGGCTCCAGCTCTCGGCTGGCCGGCGGCTGAACTAGTGTCGCACCGTGGAAGGTTAAAAAAAGAAAATAAGAGATATCCCCCCCCGCCTTTCCCCGCTGCCTTCCTGTGTAGAAAAAAAAAAAAAAAAAAAAGACCTGATTGAAACGGAGGTTTGTGCAGAGAGAGGCGGAGGCTGACGCCGGTTGCCAAAGCGCCCCAGCTCTCGGTGCGGGAGGGAGATGCGCGAGGGTCGCTCCTCTCGCCGTGCCGGCGGCACAAGGACCGGCCGCAGCCCAGCCCGGGGCAGCCTGCCCCCAAGGCCCCGTCGGTGATGGGTGGCAGTGGGGCTGAGGCTAGAAGATGCCTTTGGCGATCTTCAGGCCTTTCTGCTTCATCCTGGGCAGGGTGGAGCTGGAGCCGTGCTTGATCTTCACTCCCTTGGAGAAGCCCCGTTTCTTGAGCACGAAGTCATAGTTGGCGGCAGAGTTCATGGCGTAGAAGACGTTGGCGTTGTCAGGGATCTTCAGCTCTGGAAGTGACCAAGGATGGGGGTCAGTCGGGCACCGCTTCCCTGAGTGGGGCTGAGAGCTGTTCCCGGGTGCTGGGACCCCTCGTGCTGTCACCTCCCAGCCCAGCTCCGAGCTGGTGCTGCCCAGGCTGCACGGCCAGCTGGGGACGCAGGCCCCAGAAAATCCCCCCACGCCCCAGCACACACCTCTCTCCTCTGAGATGATCTGAACGAGCTCATAGTCTTCAGGCCGGTCCCCGTCCAAGTTGTGTTTGGCCATGGCTTTGCGAATAACGACCGGGGTCTTATCCTGGCTCGTCACCTGTGAGCACAGAGCATCGTTAACCCAGGGAGGGGTGCAAAATGCTGCAAAGCCTCCCACCAAAAATGACCATGCCCACATCCGAGCGGGGCGAGCCACCCCTCCCCGGCGTCACCACGGGTGCCCTGTACTAACCAGGATGCTTTTGTACATGTTGCCGTTGTCGACGGCCAGGCTGACGCGGATGATGCAGCAGTCATCGACCTGCTGGTTGTAGAGGGGCAGCGAGAGGGAGGAGTAGCTGGAGATGCCGGAGACGGAGCGCTTGTGGGTGCGGGAGGCTGTCACCGGCGTGGAGGAGACGGAAGAGGACGAGGCACTGCTGGAGCCCGAGCCGATGCCCGACGTGTCCAGGGAGGAGAGGGAGGTGGATTCCCAGAACTGGAGGGCAGGGAGGAGAGGGGATGCGGAGGACACAGTGGGTTTAGCTTCTCCGTCGGCCACAGATGGGGCGTACCAGCGCTGGGAGAGGGAGGCCAGAGGGATCTCACTGACCTGTGACAATGGGGGACCGACATGACTACAGCCACCGGAGGGGCAAGAGCCCTGCCACGCTGCCGGAGCAGCAAAGAGCAGGGACCTCCCTAGCCCCACCAGGTCAGAAACAGCCCCCCCGGGACCCCCACCCGCTCGCCCCAGCGCCGGGGCAGGGGTGAGGCTGCAGTCCCTACGCGATGGCCGCACCTGCCTCCGGAGGCCCGGACCCCGCGAGCTGCCCCGTACCTTCTTCTCCTGGCAGTCGGGGGACTCGGGGATGAAGCTGATGTTGATCTCCTCCACATCGGAGCTGCTGGAGCCGGCGGAGGTGACGCTCACCGAGTCGGTGGTGTCCCCACTGCACAGGTACTGCCCGCACTTGAGCTGGTCGAAGGATTTCGAGTGGGAGCTGCCGCTGGCGCACGGCTCGGTGCTCGGCGGCTGCCGGCTGCCAGGAGAGACGCGGGGCAGGTGAGAAGGGAGCAGAGCGAGGGTGCACTTGGCTGCCAGGACAGCGGCCCCCCCCCCCCAGCCGGGTCCCCTGTAATGCTCAGCCAGAGATGCCCCACGCTGGCCCCCCCCGCCTCCACCCCGCATCCTGCCGGGGATGAGCGGACTCACTCGCTCCATCGCTTGATGATGCCCGTGTTTTTCTTCGCCTTCAGCGTGTTGCTGGCCGACTCCGACAGCGGCTCGATCTCGCACGACAGCCCGTAGCTGGGAGGGGAGAGATGAGGGTTTGAGCTCTCTGCGCTGCCACGGCTGCGGCGAGCACCGTGCGGGCAGGGCAGGGAGTGGAGCACAGGGCTCAGTGACCGGAGGGGACGAGCGGTGGGACCTCCCGATGCACCAGCGGCAGCACGGCCCCAGGCCCCGGCTCACGCTCACCTCTCGGCCTCGCTCAGCCGCTCCAGGCTGTGGAACCAGTCCACAAACTGGTCCTCCTGCGTGAAGCTGTAGTTGTTGCAGGCCGACTGAAGCAGCTTGATCTGGGCGATGACTTCGAACTCCTGCAGCAAATGGAGGCAGTGAGACCAGGATCTGTTTGCCAGCCCCAGCATCCTCCACAAACAGCCCAGCCCCATGCATGGAGGCGGATATGAAGGACCAAAATTCCCCCTCCCCAAAAATTAAGAACATGACAGTGAAAAAGGAGAGGGATCAACCCCAAAGTGATTGGCTCAGCCTGGGCTTGCACCATGTCACCCTCCTTCCACACTGCTGTGCTGCTGCCAGGGCAAAGCTCTCACCTTCCTTCTCTTCTCAAAGTTGATCAGCCCGCCCTGGAAAAGAAGGAGCCAAAAGTCAGCATGGTCCAGGCAGAAAAATATTGCTCCCCTCCCTCCCTGTCCCCCGGCTCGCCACCACTGCAGTGTGGGTGTCCTGCTGAGGGGCAGCACAAGAGTGGCCCATTTCCACGGGCTGAGAGAGGTGGATGTGCTGTCAGATATAGAATGTGCAGGGTGCAGTGTCAGATATAGAACGCATGGGGGACCAGCCCTCCATTTATCAGCCCAGGCTCTGGGGCGGCTGCGTGGAGAAAGGAGAGGATAGAGATGGAGGTACATACGTCCAGGAAATCCTTCATGGCGGTGTCGAGCATCACCAGATCCGTGAGGAAGGTGCCAAGGTAGGGAATGGTGCCCTGCATCACACCCTGCGGGGACAGAAGGGACAGTGGGGTCAGCAGAGAGCCGGGGCAGCTGCCGGGGAGGGGACACAGGGCAGCCGTGCCGGACTCACCATCTCTCGCTGCTGTTGCTGCCGCTTCTGTGCCCTCTTCGGGTTGATCTCCAAGGTGGCAAATTTGGACGTGCCCTCCTGGATGGTGGGGAGAGGTGGAGATCAGCACAGGTGGGCAACTGCACTAAAAGATGAGCTAAAATTCACCCCTGCTTTTACTGGTACAACTTTCCTTGTAGAGGGAAAGAGGGATGGATGAGGGGAAGAGGAGGAAATTAAAGCTGAGCTTTTTCGTGCTTACAGGGACCATGATACCTTAGTGAATAGGAACTGCTGCTCCCATTTCCAGCTCCATATAAATAGCTCCTTAATGGGATGTTTTGCTCCCTTTTGCATTTTGCATCCTCTCAGCCCCCAAACTGGAGCTAGGCTGGGAAGCTGTGGAGCCTCCATGGGGAAGAATGACATTTTTGCTGCAGCCTTTCACAAACCCTACAACCCCACCTGAAATCAAGAGGACTTTGCAACAGGCTATTAAAATGCAGCTGCCTCTGAGGAGAATCCTCACCTGGTGCACTGGATCCTATCCCAGTGCTTATCTCTGCTTGCCGAATTGCTTTGCAAGCTTCAGACAATGACGACTTTTGGGTGGAGAATCAGAAAGGCCAGCCTGGTCCAACACCCCTCCCTGCTCCCCAGACTCAGCACACCCCGCCTGCACCCGCGCCTGCAGACCCGGCAGCGCTGCCAGGGCTTTAGTCTGGTGGCTGGAATGCTGTGGAAACTTCTGCCAGCATCAGCCCGAGCTCCCTGCCAGAGGCAGGGTGTCCCTTCCCCGTACCTTAATGAGAAGCTCTCGGCTCAGCGAGTGGTTGTTCTCGTCGGAGAAGATCTCTGAGAGCTCGTGGAAAGTGCGGAAGCTCTCCCTGCTCAGGGAGAAACATGGGGAGAAGTCAGCAATGGTGCCACCCTGGGGGGCTCCTCCTTGGGCTCTCTTCTGCTCACCCAAAGGACCCCCCACAGTGCTCACAGCTCTAGCAGGGCCTTGATGTTTAGGGGCTACACCAGGGTGTTTCTCATGGAAAGGGGGAGGTAGTGATGGTGCTTTTATTTCCTCACCCTCCTTAGGCCCCTGACACCTTATGCTGGTCCCTGTGTTTTGGGCACGCTCCAAGAGGCAATGCTGGAGCTGAGATGATCCCATCTACACATTCAAGTGCCACAGCCACAGCACAACCTCCCCCTTGAAACCTTCCCATGACCGCAGGAGCCCAGAACTCTGCTCACCTTAGGACCTCGTCCCAGGTTTTCTTCAGCCGGTGAACGGCATTGCACTGCAGAGCCGAGAGGATGGCGCGGAGGGAGGAGAAGTTCTTCAGGATGCGGCACTCCTGGGGGCAGATACGGAGATGAAAGGAGGATTCAGTGTTAAAGAAAGCCCAGGGATGTGCTGGGATTCCCACACAACAAAACCTCAGCCCCGGGCCGAGGCAGGAGGTGAGCAGGGTGGCAGGCTGTCCTACCCGAGCCACTTCGATCCACCGCTCCACCACTTTAGCCCTCTGCTGCGGCTTCAGGGACCGGTCCCCGAGGCACGTGGCGATGACGCAGTTGGCCACGCTGTTGAACTGCAAGACCGTGGCACGGATGGTGGGTGCCAAGTGCTCCTTGCCCTTCTTGTCTCGCTGGGACCAGATGCAGCCCAGGCAGTGGTAAGGCACCACTTTCTTAAACAGCTCCTGAAAGATAAAGGGATGGAGATGGGTCCCTGGGAAGGAACAGGACAGGAGGAAAAGATGGATGGGAAGAGACAGGCCTGTGCCCGGAGCAGCAGGTAGGAGGCAGGCAGAGCACCATCAACCTGGCTGTCAGATGAATACTCACAGCATCCATCAGCGTGAACTGTTCTGCCACCATCTCTGGGGAGAAGGAGAGGAAATCTGGCTTCCCGTCCCCGACGCCGTTCTCCTCCACCAGCTGGAAGGTGCAGCCACCGTGGTCCACAGCTGCGAGAGACGGTGTGAAGCTGAGCACCGCAGCACTGCTGCGAGCCGGGGCCCACGCCGACCCACGCCAGCCCTCTGTGGCACCCACATCCCAACCTCCTGGGCTCTTAATTCCCATCTAGATTCACACCTTGAGAAACAAGGCTCAGATAAATGGATAGTAATTTTAAACCTGGACACAAGTATCTGCAGAGGATTAAAGGCAGATTAGCTAATCCACTTAGAAATCCCACTTCTGGTTCAGTTGGATTAGCTTCCCAGTGTACCTCCATGTAAATGCAGGCAGGGTTTACAGGGGTTAAGCCATGTGGAAAGACCTGAAGTTTTGGAGACCCTCGATGCCAACCAGTAGCACTCTCTCCACCTGAAACCCCAAATGACCCCCAGAAGCGGGGAAAGAACCCCACCTTCTGCTTTGGACTCGCTCTGCTCTTGCTGCTGGAACTGGGCCAGCAGGATGCGGGCTCGGCGCTCCAGGTCGGAGCCGGGGATGTTGTGGTGCACGTAGGAGATGAGTTGCTTGAGGCAGGTGAAGTCCGGGGGCTTGCGGAAGTCCTCTGAGTACTGGTCCAGCCAGGCACCCAGGATGGAGGAGATGGTGCTGCGGGGAGAGCGGGGAACACAGACAAGTCTGTGTGAGAACTGGGTGCCACAAGAAACCCATGTGCACCCCAACACACCCCGGGCACCAGGAACAGCCTGGGATGAGAACTGAAAATCTACCAGCCAGACACACCCTTCTCTTGTTCACCCTCAGCACGGTCAGACTTACTTCTTCAGCTCCATCCTCTCGTCCACAGCGTGCCTGGCGTGGTCCCCATTCACCTGCACATGGAGTTTGCCGTACCTGGTGGGGCACAGTGAGGAGGCACTGAGCATCCTGGACTCGGCTGCCTCTCAGTGCTGCCTCTTCTCCCTCTACATCACCCCAGCTCTGCCAGGGGGTTGGGATGAGCCTCCCACACACCGTCCTGCTCCCCCCACTCTGCCACAGCCCCTGTGTTACCGGCCAGCACTGGCCACCTTGCAGTGGGGTACCAGCTGCAAGGGCTCCAGCTCTCTGGGAAGTTGTGTCCTCCCTGCCATGCCCCAAAACTTTCAACACTGATGGAGTTGGGAGAAGCCCATCAGCCTTCCAAGACATGGCAGGAGAAGATGCTGGGGCATTCCGGGCCAAGGGAGCTCAGACATCAGCCGCCCCCGGCTGCATTTTGGGGCTCAGAGCAGCCTCACCTGTTAAGCAGCAGGTCCAGCACTTGCTTGGTGGTGGCGAAGGCCCGGTAGGTGCACAGGAAGATGGTGACGTAGGTGGAGTCATTGCCCTTGAAGGCTGAGACCAGGTACTCCACCAGCTTCTCCAAGGTCCCAGCTTTTATCGTCCGCACCTTACATGTCTCGTAGAGGTTTAAGGCCGACTCATTCTCAAACTGCCAGGACAGGAACAGAAGTCAGTGGGTTGGGTGAAGACAGACATGTTCAAGCGCAATGCGGTCCCAGCAGCTTCACAAGCCACCATTCAGATCTAGGCTGCGACCACAGACCCCCAACAGACCCCCATACAGTGCCTGGGTCTCTCATGATGGGCCTGGGGAAAGGGAAGCTGGGTCTCCTTGGACGGCAAATACCAGCAACCCAGCTGAGAAGACTTGAGCATTTAGGAAATCCCAGGAAAGGCCTCAAGGTTGCTGAAATCTAGATGCAAATCAGAGTTGCCCTGTTTTGCAAAATGGGGCTTCAGATCATTTCCCCTGTACCCCTTCCTGCGGGGCAGAGGTCAGCAGGTGCTCCCATGCCCCCGCTCCCAAATAAATACATCATTCCCAGATAAGGCTTGGAAGGATTCCCCAGGACAGGAGTGTATGGGGAAGCAAGAAGAGGGCAAGATATTGGCTGGTATCAACCCTGCCAAGCCCTGACACGAGGTCACCATGTACCTGGCAGGGAAACATCTGAAAACACCCCGTGGCAGGAGGCTGGCAGAGCCCCCAGCTTACCCCCAGCCATCGCTGCCCTTTGTTGGCCGTGTGATGGAGCTGCACTTTCCGGAGCGATATGCTGTAGATCACACCATCCTCCAGCTCTTCTCCGATCTCCTGTGTGGAGCTCTGCACAGGAGGACAAGATACACCACGAGATAAGTAGAGTAAAGCGCGGCAGAGATGCTCTTGTGGGCTCGTACAGGGCATCTCAGCAAGCCAAAGGCAACAGCCGGCAGGCAGCGAGAGTCTCCCTCGCCTGCTCAGAAATGCAAATCAGGCGACACCAGTCTTTCTGGCCACCTTAACCCCAGGACCACCTGAGCCTGCACACAAAGCCAGGACTTTGGGAAGCTGCTCTTGGTTGGCTCCACGTCCCCTGGGCTCCACATCTCAGCCCTTCTGCAAACCCAGGCTGCGGCAGTGTCGGGTGCCAGGCAGAGTGGGGACCCCTCTCACCAGGGAGCGAGGGGGGCTGGGGGCAGCACACCCCTGTACCCAGTCCCAGCTGCTTCCCCCTCCCCAAGCCTTTGCCTTTCCTGTAAGGTGACATTGCTGCCTGGTCCGACTGTAATCTCAGTAATATGCCCCTGTGGGAACTGAGCACCTCAGTGCACCTTTGGTAATAAATAATAACTGTGAAACCAAGCCAGCCGCGAGCTTCGGCGGCACTGGCCATGCACACAAGGCAGAAATCCAAGGGGGGAGCTCAAAGGTGGGGGGAAGCCCCAGTGAGCAGCACCAGGGTGGGCTCAGGCACAGCCAGGACAGGTCACTGCACCCCTGGGGACAGGCACCTCCAGGCCACAGCCCAACACAGCTACAAGACTCGCATTTCTGCTCTGGGGGATGGAGACCACCTAAAATCTGGTGAGGAAAGAGGGGATGTTTCTTGGGGCAGGTCCCCAGGCACATGCCTCCCCCAGCCCAACATGCCAGCACGGGACTCAGCAGCAGCTCCAGCCCCACAAGGACAATCTGGTTCCCTCCTCCTCCTCTTCCTCCTCCTTTCTCACCACGCTCTGCTGAGTCAGTGCCTCTCTTAAGAGGATTTATCCAGATCCTTTTAAACACGGCGGGGATCTCCTCCGCCCTCCATCCCCCACGCCAAATGGTGGGACACGGTGTAACATGCAGCAAAGCTCACTGCTCAGCAGATGGGGAAAATGGCCAAAAGCAATAAGCTGGTTAGCAGGGGTAGGTGACCATGTGCTGGGGCACACGGGCTCAGGGACAAGTTCCTCCTGCGTATCACACGGCCAGCCAGGGGCCAGAGCCAGCCCGGGGCTTTTCCTGCAATCTGCCTCTCCGGAGCACAAAAACCCCTGAGCAATGGCAACAATGCAGGGCTTGCTGGGGAAGAAACTGCCGTGGGGTGACCCACGATGGAGCCCCCCCAGACAGAGCCCCAGGAGTAATGCTGCTCCCTGCAAAAAATCCTCCTCCTAAACTGTTCCCTGTGAATGTGGGAACAGCCGTATCCAGGGCCCCGGCTTCAGATGACGCTGCACATCTCAGGAGACCCTGAGCTGATGTATCGAATGTGCACCTAACATGCTCTTTAACCACCATCCTTTATCATCACTGTCACAGCAGCGGTTGCTGCGTTGTTATCACACCCTGCTCAAGCCAAGTGCTTGTTATTAGCAAGGAATCAAGGCAGGGAACCACAGCCAGCTTCAAGAGTAAGGGGAAAACTTCAAAAAGCCTCTTGCTCACGGCTGTGATGAATGAGGACAGAGAATCCCTCTGGGCAGGGTTACTGGACTTCTTCCTCACTTTCTCCTGAACCTGCTCTTCTCACTTCATCCCAGACTATTGAGAGGTTTGGTTTGCTGAAGCGCAACAGGTTGTGAGGCTCCTAACTTCGGCTGTGCTGTGAACATTGGGAAGTCTTTCCTGGGGTGCACCAGCTTCCAGACCAACCCTGACAGCACCCACACAAGGTGGTGGGTGGACAGACAGATGTCCTTCTGGACACCTGTGTCAGTCTGCCTCTTGTTTCGCTCTGGGATAAATTATAGGATAGATTTATGCTCAAGTATGAACAGGTCTGAACTTCAAGAATGGAAAAGGCACCCACCAGCATGGCGTGCCCTGCGCCTTCCTAGACGGTGTGACATGAAAATACATCCTGCTGCCTTGGTAAATCCCCTGGGGCTGTCGATGCTGGCTGCTGGGGGTAGTGCAGGTCCGAGCCCAGCTTCCCCCCAGTTTAGCTAGCCCAGGCCCAGGCAGGCCTGGCCCCAATGGCTGGCACCACACAGCCTCAACGCTGACGGGGGCACGAACAAGCACCCGAGCCCACCCTGACACCCCTCTCTCCTCTGCAGCCCCACGTCACATCCACACTGGGAGCCTCACCAGAGGGGTCACCCGTGACATTGGCCTTGGTGCAGGGAAGCCGTTTAAACATGTCAGCGAGGAGAAGGTGAGCTTGGTATGTAGCTAAAGGCACCGGCAGCTGAGAGCACTGGGTTTCTCCCCCATCACCTCTCCATCTCTCCACAAAAAATCTCACAGGAACAAGGTGCTCCTGTGCCACGTGAGTCACCCCCAACCACACAAGCAGAGATGCCTTAGCTGGGAATTGGGGACACTGGCACGGCCTCAGGAGAGAGCTGCTGGCACTGCTAAAGCCTCCCACCTGCTCTAGATCAGCCACCTACAGTGATGGTGCCTAACTTGAGCCCAAGTCAGCCAAGTTGTCTTTCTTCCACCTATAGATGCTGTTCAACGAAAGGAAAGAAAAGCTCTTCCCAGTTTGTCCACAGAGACCATTAGTCACTGGTGCCCACAGCTACATGTCATTCTCCAGAAGTGACAGCAGTAGATGCCTCTTGAGCTTGCAAAACCACTGCTTTAGTCAGATTCATTCATTTTTTGTTTTGCTGACTTGTGCGATATCCCCCAAAGTTCCCCCTTTGCAAACCACACACAAAGTACGCAGCTTCCCAGCGGTCTTCAGCCAGGCTCATGCCAAGAGGCAGGCGAACTGCTACACTGGTACATTTTAAAATTTGGCTATTTATATTCCGCGTGAGCTTCCTCTTTCCTACCACTGCTTCTCCAAGATGCTGATTGTGCATTCTGCACATGTTGGTTAAAAACCAACGAAGCAAAAAGCAGCAGCAGCAGGATGGAGCAAGCGAAGTCCCACTCTGACACCTGCACCAAATGCACGTTTCTGCCCTTGCAGATGAGGAGACACAGGGTGGGAGCAGGGCTGGGAGAGACACAAAACCTTGACCTGTGGCTTATGTATGCACCAGCTACCAAGAACGCTGCAATCTTAAATCTGGCACTCACACCAGGATTTCTAGCAAGTCAACCAGAGATGAATGTCTTCAAAATGGTCTCTAAACAGCTCTGACAGACAAGGGCTGGTAAATATTACTGCAACAGCTACTGCTCCCCGTTGCCTGCCCTACACATCTGCTGGAGTTTTCTGCCCCTCACAGCAGAAGGGAATGTGAGTGGGGCCTCAGCCAGCACAGCCACAGCCCAGCACTCACAAACCCTCCTTCATCAGTGGTTCCACGCAAATAACTGCGCACTGCACCACGGCAGAGATACAGGTGAGCAGTCCCTTCCGCTTACTGCATCGTGTTGGCAGAAGAGATGTGTCCAACAGGCCCAGACAGGGCTTTAAATGGCTGCAACAAGAATCAGCAAAGCTCTTCCGTGAAAGCACTAACTCTGAGCATACTGATGGTTACGGCATTTGCACCTTCCACCAAACGCACACCGAAGAGACTCACCGCCCCAGAAAGTGAGATCCAACGTATTTCAAGATGGGCACCAAAAAAGGAAAGACAGAGAAAATTAACATTTGACCATGACTTCTCCAGCTCAGCGTGCAATCCTGCTCCTCTCCATGCAGCAGGAAAAAAGGCCTCTTGATGGAGGGGCACAGGAGAAAAACCACACATTTAGCTTCAGGGTATCAAGACGCCCAATTCTGCAGAGTCTGAGGCTTTTTCAAAAACAGCCGTAAGTGAACTCTGCAGGAGTTCATCCCCTGAAATATGAAACTGGAGGTCTGCACCAGATGGCTTGCCTGGTTTTAGAGACCGCCTCTTCCAACTGCAGATAGCCCTGGGCTGCGTGAGCAACGAGCTCCCCAGAGCTCCCCACCGATAGTTCAAAGCATTGGTGACTACACTGAGGAGGAATTCCTGCTCCGTGCAATAAACTCTTCTACTCTCTGGTGAATGTTCTAGCACACGGCGTGGTGTCAAACCCCACGTCTTCACACGGAGTTTTAATAATAAGCTCTAAGATGTAGCCAAGGTTCGCGAGCCTGGAGAAAGGGTGTGAGGGACCCTCACAGGAACCAGGGAGAGTGCAGCAGGGAATCTGCCTTCATCTCTTCTTGCCAGCTGAAGGGAGGAGAAAATGCAAAAGCCAAACAGCAACACAAAATATTGGCTAGGGATCTGCCTTTTAGAAAGTGTTTGAGATCAGTCACAAAGGTGTTTTTTGTAATACAGAAGCAAAGTACAGGATTAAGCATGAGCATGACAGCATCCCTGCATGTTACACACAGACAATTATCCAACAATTACTAGGTCTTAAGAGCTCTGGTCCCACGTGCCTTGGGTTAGTGCATTGGCCTCCAAAGACAAAATAATGAACTGTTATTGGAAAAAAGGTATTAATTTCAGCACACGTGGAAGAGGCAAAACTGCTTAAAGTGCTTTTACTGATGCTCCCTGGCCAACAGCTGGTTTAAAGATCAAAATATTTGTATTACTCTGTTCCCTTTCAGCTGGGCTACACAAAATGCCTGTTCTACAGACAGGTATAACACAGCACTGAGAGTTTCTCGGCACTGTGATTTCAAAGGGCTGCTGATACCAGCCACAAGAGAGACACAGACGCTAACCCTGCCCATGGGAAGCCAGGAACCTGCGCCTGTTGGCAATTAACAGTCTCGCTGGCTAATGAGACAAGAAAAGGCAGAGCTGAGCCTCAGAGACATCATCAGGAGTTTCTTATTGAAGCTCTGCATTTGCACAACTTTGAAAAGACTTGATGAAAGCTGGTAAAGACAGAAACAGAAAGCGGGGGTTTGGTCTTTACAGTCCCCAGTCCCTTCTCAGAATAATCCCTTCCCACCAGCAATG